CCATCCTCGAGATTGATAATGCTTTCAAACATAGAATTAACGGCAGCCTCCAACACATATTTCACGAGGTAGTATCTATACAACTTCCTCGGCTATTTGAAGGACACCCGATTGTGCTGCCCGTGCGAAGATTGCCACTAAAGGTGGAAAAGAAGAAAGAATAATGTGAGTGTAGCACCGATCTGAAGGTGTTGGCATACAAGCTCAAATGCCCGCACAAACATGGTCGCATTCCGGTGGAACTGAGAGGGTGCTAACTCCAGCCATTGGAAGATCCCACCTGGAAGTCATTGAATGACAGACGAAGCCCTGCCTCCCAGAAGGCAAATTCATACATGGGGAAGCACTTCCCCTGGTATGTCGAGCAGATCCAGACTATTCCTTTGGGTTTGTATGTCTCCCAGGTTGCAGAGGCCCTTCCTTCTCTGTCCTCGACGATGGTAAAAGCATCTGAGTCGTTAAAAGCGAAACGCGAAGTAATTCCTCAGAGTTCTTTCTCGACCCAATCCAAGTTGGGTTTAATATTTGCGTCGACCATGTTGGTTTCAGCGTTTATGTCAACCAGATTAGTGTCCTCGATCTATCAAGCCATTTAACTTGAAAAGTTGAGGAAAACAGTGAATTCGACATTAAGATCAAATCCACCCTTCCACTGCAAATCAAGTGAATGGGCAAGGAAAGGCTCGAAGACACGTCCTCGACTAAAGCCCTTGTCGACAAGCACATAAGCATGGGGAACTTCTTCTCAGCACAATTGTGTTTACGAAAATTTGTATTTACGAGGAAGAGCCTCCCCGACACGAAATAACATCGAAAATTCGTATTTATGAGGAAGAGCCTCCCCGACACGAGACCCAACATATCTTCACGAACTTCGTCGAGAAATTCATAAAGCTTCACCGAAAACTTCATAGCATCGCCGAAAACTTCATAGCTTCGCCAGAAACTTCATAGTTTCGCCGGAAACTTCGTGAACTCGCTGAAAATCTCACAAGTCTTCGTCGGAAAACTAATAGATTCATCAAGAGATGAATGAACCTTGCCGGAAACCTCATACACTCATCGGAAAACACGAAAAGAAACAACTATACACCCTAGAACTTACATGCAAATCAGTTAGAGGGAGAAAACTACTTACTTGGTTGGTAAAGAGGGAGTCGATGGCAGCGGTAGTGCTCAACGGTGTAACGAACGAACAACAGCGAACGCGGGAGTAGAATGAGAGTAAAGTTAGAAATGAGCAAATGATCCCCCTCTTTCCCATTTATAGGAATTCTCACCACACGGGGAACGCGTCGCCATAGGCCATCATAACCTAGGCCATAGGCTATGGTCAGTCATGATGGTGCAGTTAATAGTCATCACGCGCATCGAAGAGAAGTTTTTACGTTGTTGAGCACGCGCGTCAACTCACCACATTCCATCGCGAGCACGTCCTCGTGAAGAGCAGAGCTACGGGTAAATCTACATCGTCGAGCATAAGCAACAACTTGAGACAATCTCACATTGTCAGTCACACGCGAAGGCTTCTAGTAAATTCCTCGCGAGCATGTCCTCGGGGAAAACTCGATGTGAACCCGCAGGCGTAGCCGTGTCCACGGATATATGGTGCCACGGACGCGGGACCCCATGGCGAACACCATCCACGATGATTTGGCTCTTAAGTCATTGTTCCTTCGCCTAGGAGCAATAACTTAGGGGGCTCCTATTCTGGACTAGGACTATAGATGACCCACGGTCGAACAGACCTAATCCAGTGACTCGTGGAGGACAGACTATTTCAAAGGCCCAACCCTCCATAACCGTTAGAGGCCATGTTCTCCACGTGCTCCTCACGCGAGGACACATCACCAACTAAACCCACACCTTTCACGGGGCACTTTCGCCCTCAGGAACGGGTAAATCCACCATGAGGTTCATGGGGCAGTTGACCCAGGATGAAGACCACATGCTGTTCTTCCATACTTTTACGTAGGGTCCTAGTAGTCATTCGTTGTGGGCCTAACGATCCAGCCCATAACAGATTACCTTTGGCCCAGCGCCGGGGGCACACTATAAATACCTTCCTCCGCATGAGGGTAAGGTATTTTGAATTTATTCTCACTACTCTATACTTGCTCTTTCTCTTTTTACTCTGAATCTCACTTTATCGGCGAATTTGAAGCTCACGACATGTTGCTAACCACTTATTAAATCTCTAATTCCATTAAGATCACATCATATAAAGACAAAAGAAAAAAGAAAAGAAAATGTATTTAGTAATTTTGGACATTGATTAAATCCTAAATTGTAGCATAACATTGTTATAGTTTTAAATTACACCTTAAAAATAAGATGGTAGTGTGAGAGTATAATAATTAAATATAAATAATGAGAAAATAGATAATACTGTGTAAATTATTTTTACACAAATATATATATATATATCTCGTCATATGACAATTATATTTTAAAATTCTTTAATAATATAATAAATAATTAATTTTTTATTGAATAACAATATACAATTATTTTACCATACATATCTAATAAACTTATAAATAGTTTAAATAGTTTAATAAATAATATCAAGGAAAACAATTTACTATAATTTAGTAGTTGCATTTATTCAGTATCTTCTAAATCAAGGAAAACAATTTACTATAATTTAGTAGTTGCATTTATTCAGTATCTTCTAAATCTATCTATTTAGACATTGATGGAAGAAAGAAAAAGAAATAGAAATTTACACAAACCGCTCATTTAAAAGAAAAGGTTCCAAAATTACTACTAAATAACAATAATAGAATGGATAAAAATGGAACTAAGAGTTGTTAATGAAAGGCACACAAAGTAGTAAGTGAGTTTACGTATGAGGGAATCCCTCTTCCTCCCAATTTATGGGATGGTTTTTGTTTTGTTGTTTGAACTAATCTTTTCTTTCAAATATGGAATTTGACCACAGCATATCCAAGAAAGGAAGGCCAGTGTCCATTTTCTTTCCTATCTTGAACCTAAACTTGTCCACGTTCACAAAACTTTAAAAGGTCACCAATCAAGGGATAACAGTTCACTGAATCACACCAATCCATTACTTTGACCTTGACCAACTACGTCGCCACATTACTTTTTAATGAAAACCACACAAAATCTCTAAATCTCCATCCATAAATTAATACTTGTAACCTTGCACGTAGAAGTTGAAGAGTGAAAGAAAGACCCAAGCAAAAAAAAAGAGCAAAACTCAAAAAGTAGGTGAGAGAAAGATAAGGTAAGTACATTTTAATAACCACGTGTCGTGCAACCTAGCTTACAACACAACATTAATGAATGAATACCAATTTGTTTTTCTACCATCCGATCATATCAATAATATGGAAAGTGTTCCACTACACAAATAAGTCCAAATAAATCGAAAGTGAAGATGAAATTAAATAAAACTATATCTTTTCCGTCTCAAAATAAATGATTTAGTTATTATTTTATTCTGATTAAAAAAATAAATAATTGAAAGGAAGAATAGAATATTTATTAAAGTATTTTTATAATGTATTAAAAATAATAAAAATAATATTAATTGAAAAAATTGAAAAAAATATATTAAAATTTAAATAAATTATTTATTTTATATTTTTTATTTATAAGAGAGAATCATTCATTGTTTCAATTTGATTTTTTATAATTTAAAAAATTTATATGATGAAATATTCCGTCAATAAATTATCAATAAAAAAAATTTATTTATCATAAGTCTGATTTCTAGTCAGACTTTTGCACTTGACGCGTGCTCACCGTGTCTTGTGAAAACTTACACGTGAAAAATGATAATGACAAAATCGAATGAAGCTATTTTAGTATTTAATCACAAGCTGACACCAAGAAAAATGAAATATGAAAGTATTTTATTTATATGTACACGTGTGTAACTTTCTTTTTTTGTATCTATATACACGTTTGTAACTTTTTTTTTTCTTTTAAAGACACGTTTGTAGCTTTATCTGTGCGATTTACAGTATTTCTTAATTATATTTTGAGTAACTGATGCTACTGCTAGTGAATATAGACAAAATTATTCAAACAATCTTTAAAAAGAAAATTAATTAATTAAACCTACAATATTATATATTATTTTATTGAACTGTTTGTAAAAAAAATCTAAAATTACTTTTTTTTCCAAAATTATGTTTTTATATTTAACGATTTAAATAAATATTTTTTAAAAGTTACAACAAAGAAGATCATTATCATCACTATTTGAATTTCTAGATTCTTTTCATATTAGTTTTTTAAAATTTAAAAACTTTATTAAATCTAATTTTTTCATAAATAGTTAAAAAAATTTTAAAAAAAATTTAATTTTGTGACAACTGGCAAGGGTTCTATTTGGCAATTGATAAATTATCCAACAAAATTTATTAGATGTATTAAAGTTGATAATTATCCTTGATTTGATTGAAGTGTGGTTTTCTAATCTAAAACATACCAGTATATGACAAGACTTATCCAAAAATGTACTATATGCATGTAAATCCTATAAAAAAGACGTTTTGTTCGAGGGAATATCCTATGAAAGGACTTGTGTAGTGTATTACAATCATTATTTGTAATACTCCTAGTAAATATGTATATATATATATATTCATGTCTTTATCCTGTAAAGAGAAGAAATTATTATTATTTATTTATTTTTGGCCAATTATATGTTATTTTGGTTTAAATTATAACAGTTCCATATACATTGAATCGGACCCGTCAAAAGCCACGGACCGTACGGTAAGAAGATAAGATTATCCGCATAATCATCTTTTTAAACCGTTAGCGTGGCATTTCCTAAATGGCCCAAAACTCAAGTGGGTCCCACATCAGGACAACAACAAAGATGACGATGCATTTTTTATGCCTATATAAATAACTGCCACCTATTGCTTAGAAAAAGAAAAAGAAAGAAAAACAGAAATAAAAAATTTAACAAAGAAACACGTTTTTTCTTGGCTCATTGTTCTCTGTTTTATTACAACAAAATGGGAGTTCCAGATAAAGATCCTCTCTCCCAGTTGAGTTTACCTCCTGGTTTCAGATTCTTCCCTACTGATGAAGAGCTTCTTGTTCAGTATCTATGTCGCAAAGTTGCAGGACACCATTTTTCTTTGCCAATTATTGCTGAAATTGATTTATACAAATTCGATCCATGGGTTCTTCCAGGTAATTATTTGTGTTAATATTTTACAATTTCTATTTTTGGGAAGAAGTTTAATTTAATGTTCTAGTTTTGCAGGTAAAGCGAATTTCGGTGAGAAAGAGTGGTATTTCTTCAGTCCAAGGGACAGGAAATATCCAAATGGTTCACGACCAAACAGAGTTGCTGGGTCGGGGTACTGGAAAGCCACTGGAACTGACAAAATCATCACCACTGAAGGTAGAAAAGTTGGCATAAAGAAAGCACTTGTTTTCTATATTGGTAAAGCACCAAAAGGCACCAAAACTAATTGGATTATGCATGAGTATCGCCTTCTTGACGCTTCACGAAAACACAACCTTGGTAGCTCCAAAGTATGTTATATTGCCTTACTATGTTGTTTTACTTGTATTTTATTTGATTGCGAAACGAAAGAGAATCTAACTTATGTGATGTTATTATGACGCAGTTGGATGATTGGGTTTTGTGTCGCATATACAAGAAGAACTCAAGCTCGCAAAAGGAAGTTCAGTCGTTTTCGAGCAAAGAATACAGCAATGGTTCATCGCCTTCATCATCTTCCCATGTGGACGATATGTCGGACTCTTTTCCGGTAATTGACGACCAGAGCTTTGCGCTTCCGCGGGTGACATCGCTCAAAATGCTACAGCAAGAAGAGAAGTTCGGGTTTCATAACATGGGCGCTGGAATTTTCTCTGATTGGGTTAACCCGACGGAGTTTGACTCGATACCCGAATTTGATTCCGGAAGCCAAACACAGGGGATGTTGAATTACAGCTGTAATGACTTTTGTGTGCCTTCAGCGCCGCCATTTGGGCAGATGGACTTCTCGGCGGGATTTAGGAACCCGGAAGAAGAGGTTCAGAGTGGCATGAGGACTCACAGGGTTACCGATAATGATAATTCCAATTTGTACCAGCATAATCCAAATGTGTTTTTGTCTGGCTTGGGCGACCCGTTTGGGTTTGGGTTTTCGGGTCATTAATTTGGTTTATAGACTAAGAAGTTGTTTATGTCATGATAACTTGGAAGAAAAAAAGATTTAAATTAAAGCAAACGCACCTCATATAAGGCTAAACAGAATCACCAACTTCAAATGCTGACAATGAAATTTATGTATAATCCACACAAGAATTCTAATAATGTGTCAATCGGGAATGCACTGTATATGTGCAAATAATTGGCGATTGTTTTGGCAATTCAATGTGAGTGTGATGGTTTGGTTTGGTTATGGATCATAAAAGTAGAAAGACAAAATATGCAGTTTTGGTCCTGGTGAACGTAGGAACACGCAAGGATTGTACAATGAATCCGTGTACTGGTTAGTGACAAAGAAAGTACTATGGAAATTGGAATGGTGCATGAACCCATCGGAGATGAAAAAGTAGTTCTGTTTTCAACTTTGCATGATATTATTTAGCTGTAGTAGGCACATTTCGGCTCGCGCATATGAAACACGTTCTACCTAAACGCAATATTGCGGCTGTTTTCAGAAGTTGGTTATCTGATTAATTATTTATAGTTTGTATATTGTTCCTGATATCTTGTAGCTTGTCGACAACACGACAAATTGATTTGCAATAAAGGATGTATATATCTATTACTATTTGTTATCAAGATTTTTATCGTTGTTTATTCAAAATGAATAATATGAGATAAAGTGTAAAATTATAAGGCATATTATCGTAAAGTTTAAGAAAGTTGTATCTATCCTTGAAAATTAAGATGTTTAAATGTAGGATAATTTGATAGAAACTTTAACATTGAAGTGTAAAATTGTTTAAATGATAAAGTAAATGAAAGAAAAATAATAAAATCAATTGAATAAATGTTTGAATTAAAAATGGGACACATAGTCATATATTTTCTCACAAATTCACTATTTTTGTAAATTGGATGTTTGAACTCTATATAGGATAATAATGAAAAATGCAAACACTTGTTACAAAGATTAAATCAACTCATATACAAGTATATCAGTAATCGTCGATAATGACTATTTTCTTAAAAATCGACACATACCATTACGTGGCCTTTTGTTTTCTGCATTGTTTTCGCGTGTCTTCAATCTTTGAACTGCTGCAAAACTGTCACTTCTGTCGAAAAACATTCTCAAGTCCTTCAATTGCTCTTGTTGAGAACTCTTAGTCGAATCTTGTAATCTTAGTATTGAACCACGCTTTAGCTACTTGTGTGTAGCCTGTGTATTTATCTCACTCCCTATTCCTATCGAATATATCAAATCATTACAAACCTTTTTGAGATTCTGAACATATTTTGAAGAGAGAATGATCCTAATCTTGTGGATATGTTCTTGAGATTCTTTCAAACTAGACTTAATGGACTGCAGTGCAGCCTTAGTAAAAAATGACAGGCTAACAGATGCTCCCCAAAAATGTTACTTTCGATCATGTTTGTAATATGGAATAAAGGTGGTGTTTTTAGTAAAATTTCGACACTGTTCAAAGTAGTCTGGATACATCATCGTCATGACCACTTTCACCAAACTGTCACGTCAGTAAACGTGCATGCACTCAGCCATCATGATTCCAACGCCAAGGCCATCGTGGGCCACAAAATCAACTGCTTCAAAAGAAAATCACTTTAATTAATTTTAATTAATAAAATCAAATGTTAGTGGATTTTTAATTAAAAGGGGGAAAACTGAATAGTTTTCTTGTACTACATATACACTCTCATCTTCTCATTTTTCCTTTTCGCAACTTCCTCTCTTCTAAAACCTAAGAGTTTTCATCTTTTCTGCAAACCTCACCATTCTTTTTTCTTTTCAAGTTAAGAACAATAACTTCTACTTCAGGTCTGGAAAAAAAAATTGATTCTAGTTGTTGCTGATGTTACCGTTCCTACTCTCCCTAGCGATCACACCTATATCCCTAAACTACTAATGGAGAAAGAAAAAGGGCTCATGTGAGTTTCCTATGTTTTAATCCCTTTTTTAATCTCAGGTAATGTTCACCCAATATTGGGTCTATTTCCCAGATCCACTGCAAAACCTAATAAGTTAAAGAAAATTTTCCCTTGTCACCACCATTGCAAACCTCGTGTGTTTGAAGACAAAATCTATGAGTTAGGTGTTTTGAGTTCGCCTCAATGTGTGTTCCACTCTTCTCCTACCATCAACCATCAACAATGAAGCTTATATAAATTGGTTGTATAAAGTAGAAAAGAAGAAATAACAAATCTAGAAAAACCAAGGCATATATGACTTAATTTAATTGTCCGGAGCTGGTCCCAAATATAACCCCAATATGCTCATTTCATCCATTTACTTTTTGGAAGGTTCGACCAATACCTTCCAGCTCCACTTTTAAATGTTAACCCTCACTTTTTCCACGTGTTTGCTATCATTGGTCTTCGGCCATTCGGGGGTACCTTTGACCCCACACTCAAACAAAAAATCAAACCCAAACCATGCTTTAGTAACTATATGGAAGATCATTGATGACTTCTCGGCAAGTGTACCGATAGTGTCGCAGTAATAAAAAGAGTATCGAATCCACATGGATTTCTATTTAACAAAGCAATAGTTATGCAAGTATAAAAAATAACAATTAGGGAGGGGGTTCAAGTTTGTATTTGAAAGTATAAGAAGTGTTCTGACAATTAAGAGAAAGTGGTCATATTTTTCCTAAAATCCTCTATTTCTCCCCTGTTGAATATCTAATGCATTACATAAATCAAGCGTCGATATATTTCCACGGCGAGTTAACAAGACCACTATATTCAATCCCTTGGTGTATAACTCACTGATTCCTACTAGAGGTCTCCTATCTCTATTATACTGGCATAAGTGAAATCAGACGATGATATAATATGTTAACTCTAAGGCCACTACTCGGGGTCTTCTATCCCTATTCAACCTGTTGCACCCCAAAATTTGCCCAACCTTTTTTCTTTACTTGGCTTATGTTTCATTTCATTCCTTAGCATTTGCATTGGCAAAGCATTGTCTTTTGCAGGGGATCAAGGGACTAGAACACTCCAGCTGCACTCCAAAACTCCTAAAGCAGATATAAGAAAGGTGTCTTCACTTCCATCAGCACTACATTCTAGCCTTAGGTTCTTGCCAAGACCCTTACTAGAATAAAGACAGATCCAACTTTATCTCCTTTGATCTAATGATTGACTCCTTAAATCAACAGAATTCTGCACAATCTCTGCTGATGAAATATCTCAACATCTGGTTGACCATCAGACCTTTGAAGTTGATCACACAAAACAAGGACCAGATATCCTTCTTCCAGAAGCCAAACTTGGATCATCCACCTGATGAACCAACAGAGCTTTGACAATGTTGATTATTATGGATAATTAATTAAATACTTGTGCATTCCACAAATAGAGATTGATCTTAAATCCATACAACTTGTCGAGAAAGCCAGATGATTACACTTCAGTAATACCAAGAGTATTCTTTAGTATAACTATCTTTTAATGTTGAAACAAGAAGGCTTACACCCTTGACTCAACCTGTCTATGTCTTCCTCTGCGGATAGAGCCTTTCCAAGTCATGAGTGGTGAAAATAAATCACCTCCCACTATCTCCTCTAAGCACAACTTCCAGCAGTCTGTAATATAGAATAGTTCAGACACAAATCCAAACACCATCTTCCAATCCTTTACACACTTGCCACAACCATGCATCAAACTGAATATAGGCCAATCTTCTCCCAGGGGCATCAAAGCTCTTTTATCAGAGAAATATGCAGCGGAACCATCAAAAGAACATCTTCAACATGCCCTAACCAAGATGTCAACACATCTTCTAGGACATCACACAGAGGTAGCCACTCCTTCTTTGGAAAAACATCCACCAGGTCATAGAGACTCCTATATCAGAGGGCACATCAACATGTACACAGACTCCGTTACAACCTCCTTCAAAATTCCATAAGCAGCAACTCAGACATTTGGCAAGTTCAGCAACTCAGCTGCAGCTTCTCCTTGTTCAAAACACCAGAAAGTATCTCCCAAGATCTCATCCAGAACAGACAGGATGCCTGCTTTGATACCAATTGAAATTATGGTATGCAGATCACATATGTCCCAAGAACATTGATCTCTGCTGAAACAAGGACGAGGACAGATCATGAACAATTTAATTTCTTTAAATTGTACCAATGTCATGACCAACGTCATGACCTCTGTTGTGACATCTGCAGGCTAACAGACTTATTTATCTAACCATTTAAATTGTGCAGAATTATAAATGCAGAAAGATAAATAACACCAGTAATTGTTTACCCAGTTCGGTGTCAACAACACCTACATCTGGGGGCTACCAAGCCAGGGAGGAAATTTGCTATTAGTAGAATCAATTCAGAGTTAAACCTCTAGTTTACACTCCTCACTTAATCCCTACCCAATGACATTTCAGCCTAGAGACACTCTAGTACCTGAGTATACCCACTCACTCCCCCTCAATCACACAATAATGATTTCAATACACAATTACACAACAGTTGTGGAGATGCACTCCAAACACACACCATGGTCTTGCTTCACAGCTTTGATCAAGTGAGACACACTCTTGCTTAAAAGCTTTGAGTGACAGCCTAGAATCTACCTATCCAATGCAATCATCCACCAGACAATTGCTTGGAGTACAAGTATTCCTAAACAGAATTGACACGTGAAGACTAGCCTTCTTCACTTACAAATATGTCTACCACAATGTATCAAAAGATACAAAGGGTGACTTACACACAAGGGACTCTCAAACCCTAGACCTTTATTTTACACTCTGGTTTTTCTTGATTTGAGTGCTTGTTTTTCTTCTGCTTCTGCTCCTCCTTTTATAGCAATGCAAACTGGGCTTGGGTTGGTCACAAGTAACAAACATTAGTTTTAACAAAGTAAAACTAATTTCCACAATTCAAGGTGTTGTCAAATTAGGTCATGGCTTTTCATGATATGGTCAGCACTGCCTCGAATCTCTCCTGAGATAACTCAGGAGTCAAAACA